GCTATACTTTTCTAATCAAAGCTAAACCATTTTTACCTGGACATTTACATTAGAAGATAATCAATTTCCCTTCTGTTTGTATATGAAAGAGATTTCCCATCAACCCATATTAGGTAATTTGATTATTGAGAATAGATCTCTTGATGCTCACTAAAACTTGATTTGTCTTAACAGAAGCACCAGGGAAAGTTAAAAATCTTCAATTAATTTAGACATTTGGATAAATGGGAGTGATATTTGCAAAGGAATGCAATGACTTGCATATATGCAACCAGTGTACACAGTGAATCAACCAAGACATTTAGATAAGCAAGGTACAGATAATTGATCTTCTGCTCTAATTGCCCATCAGTTTAGGTTAGCGTCAGAGCAATAAGAAATAAATGCATGGGCATGCAGGAACATTTTCATTAAGACAGGCACCACAAAGTAGTAGATGGTCAGTATTATAAAAACTGGTATCCCAAAAGCTGAATTAATTGTTAAGTGAAAATAAAAATGATACTAAGACTATTCTGAGTGCTTGTTAATCAGCCTTCTCTTCCTGTATGAAAACATGGAAGAACAAAGAAAAGCAGACTTTGCAGGCCTTGTATTTTCCTCCTGGGCAGAAGTGTGGATAGAACTTAAGAGAAAGATTAACTGACATTATTGGGCAATGGAAGCAGAATCCCTCCAAGGAACTGTAAACCTTTAAGTATGTGTGTAAACAGAAATGAATACACATGCACAGGCCTTCAAATTTCACCCATCATATAATATACTTTTTAGTGGGGAACTGCTCTTGGGGTGCACATTACAAGACAATGGGGACATCTAGTGGAATGCTGTAAAGCTGCAATTGAATATGACGCAAGGAAACATGGCCATCAGTCAGCACACCCAAGGGAGTGAGGTTTCCTTCTGAATTTTATTAGATGTGAAGTGAAACATCCAGTGGCTACAGCCAGATATAATATGTTCCACTTTCGCAATTGATTACAGATAGAGTGATTGCTGGTCTAAGGCTGAAATGTTGCTACTACTATGGATAAGGTGCAGGGGTGGGATTCCACCAGTTTGCGCCTATTCGCTAGAGCCGGTTGTTAACATTCTAAGCTCTATTGTCATTCAAAGAACTCTTTTATGGATTGTCTTGCCTAAAGTAGGGTAGGTGATATGTAGCCTTAAGCTTAGTTTTATTTCATCCTTGTGAACTAGCCTATTACTAGTCTGTGAGAAATATGAGGAGAAATATTAGAACAAAAGGGATGGGAGCAGGGTGGGATTCTACCAGTTCGCACCTATTTGCTAGAACCGGTTGTTAACATTCTAAGCAGTTCAGAGAACTGGTTGTTAGAAGAAATTACTGGCCTAATCCTGTAAGGAAGGCAGGAAGGAAACATTCTGGTGTTGCTTACAGAAACTGCCTCTCCGTTAACCCTTATTACATTCTTGGCAGGACTAGACTTCCTGTCTCAGGAACTTCTCTGGAGTTTTTTCCCCCTCCTTTGCTGGTACTTTGCTTGTGTGGAATGACCATTCAAAGTTACAAAGTGACCATTTTTCACACTTACTATGGTTGCAGCATCCCCACAGTCATGAGAGGCCAGGTGAGGAGATGCGTGCCTTGATGTGAGTGATATTGAATTGGCCATGCCCAGCCAATAACATGACCACCAAGCCACGTCCACCCAGTCACATGACCACCAAGCCACGCCCACAGAACCGCTTGTTAAAAAAATTGAATCCCACCCTTGATAAGGTGATTAGATGGGTTTTTTTTTTTTAAAAAAAGCATAGATTAGAAACAATTTTTTTGTTGACTAAATTTTTTAGACTACTAAGAAGTTTGGAAGTAGGCATCATGCTGTGTAGCCCACTTTCCATAGTTATTTGTGAGACTTTAGTAACTATTCCACTCAGCTCAGTGGGTCAGTTTCTATGAGAGGAAAACCCATTAAATAAAATAGGATTTCCTTTGCCTGTTATTCAAAAATGTCAGCTGAAATTGTGAATCTCTGCACATTTTAAAGGTGTGGGTCTCATGAATTCAATATAAACCTCTTTTGTGACTGAATTGAGCTATTCATCTCAGATTGATTGGCTATTGCTCAGATTCTTACAGGACATGTTGTGCCTAAATGTGCCAGCCTACAGTTCCTGTCCAATTATACAAAAGATAAGGAGGTTGCATTAGGAATGAAGTAGTTACATTAATGAATAAAGATAAAGTCTGAAAAACAAACCTTGTGTTTATTTCCAATGCAACCACCTTGTCTTTAAGTACAATTGGGGAAGACACTGTGGACTGGCACAATATGTCCTAGAAAAGTGTGAGGAATAGCCAGTCAATTTAATCCTGGCAACTACATCAGTGTGCTTTTCTTATCAGAGGTTTGCCGCTGTCATTTTCTGGGATGTTTTTTCAAATTTCTGATCTAGCCAATAGCCTTTCCAATGGCTCTGCTTCCAAGCACTACTGTCTTTGACAGTAGATAAAAATCCATAAGTTGCTGCAATTAGAAAAGATGTGATGGTTATATATAACGCACCTATATAATTGATCCATCATGTTCTGCAAACATGATTCCTCTTCATGATCGTGGCAATGTGCTTTCCTCATATTTCTGAGGCGGAAAGGATGGAAACTGTTCTAGAAAGCACTACCCCTGCACCTTAGCCTTGCCACACCCTAGGAGCTGGGCCAATGTTGCTGTTCAGTTCAAGGTATTCTAAGGCCCATTGATTGGTATCTTCTGGGTTCTTTCTTCTCCTACTCAGCATTGCCTATGACTGGAAAAACCACCCTACCATCTGCTTCCCTGAACATGTGGCAGGACGAGGTTGGGGTGTTTAGCTGAAATGTTTCATTCAGGCATAACTTCTCACCAATATCATCATTCTTAAGTTGTTCCTGTGCACTTCTGCTTTTGGAATTGCTTCTACTGAATATATGAGGCTTGCTTCTGGATAAACACAGGTAGCCCTCGACTCACAACAATTTGTTAGAGTGACAGTTCAAAATTATAGTGGCACTGGAAAAAGTGACTTATGATTGTTTTGCACACAACTGTTGTTGGAGCACCCCCATTGTCATGTGATCAAAATCCAGACACTTGGCAACCTTCTGACAAGCAAAGTCAATGGGGAAGCTAGATTCACTTAGCAACCATGTTACTAACTTAACAACTGTAGTGATTCACTTAATAACTCTGGCACGAAAGGTTGCGAAATAGGGGAAAACTCACTTGACAACTGCCTTGCTTAGGAACAGAAATTTTGGGTTCAATTATGGTTGAAAGTCGAAGACTTCACCAAGATTCACACTGCCTCTGTACTGAAAAGCAGTCTAGACTTGAACAATTCAGCCAGGGGAATGTTATGCATCACATTAACCAATGGAGGGAGGCAAGTGAAGAGTATTTTTGAATGCCTCTCCATTGTTTTTCTGTCTTCTCCCTACACACACGCACATTGCCCACACACAATAATGCTTTCTGGCTGCACAGTACATCTGTTCTTCATTATGCTTTAGCAGGGACCAGCGACAAGATGGAGGCTTAATTGTGCGGTCCTATCCTCAGCAAACTGTAAGTGGGCTGACCCCAAGCTATGGCAACTGGGAAATGTACATGATACACCCTCTGTATACTTGGTTTACATTCTGAGGAAACAGCTGGTGGCATGCCTGTAAGATTTTTTTCTCCAGGATAATTCTGTTGTTGAACACACAACATATTTCTGTTTTCTCCAATATTCTTTTTCAACCTGCTTTCAACATTGGCATTTTCCTGAGGAGAATGAAATCTCCTCAGCTTCATCCCATTGGGGCACACAAACAGAGCTTATTACATAGATAATTTTTGAATTGTAACAACTAGTTTAAGATAAAGGCCAGTTCATATGTAATTTCAGCTTTAATAAAAAAGTACAATGCAAATATCAAGGTCCGGCTATCACACACATTTTTATATATAGGAGCTTCGGGGAAGGGTTTAGTTAAGCATCATGATCATTATGCTATAAATTAAAAGGCTTAATAATGTCTTTGCAGGGCTATTTATCCTCTTTGTTCTCCTTGGTTCCATATCATGCTCGATATTAACCTATATAAAGCATTCATAGTTGTGCAAAAGAAAATCTTACCCAACGTGGATAACAGATATTTTGCATGATTATGTTTTAGGGTTCAGGTGTGAAGTAGTGTTTCTCTTTTTGTACATATGACCATCAAACAAGCAAACATTCTCTATAGTACTAGGAGCAGAGAATTGCAGATATTTTAACATTTTTTTAAAACTAATCACACATGCTTATTGCTGTGCTTCAAAAAGCAAAGGGTGTCTTGAGGCATCTATGAAACTTTTCCGTTTTATTCTCAACTGAGTAGCAATTTGAATCCAGATCCCCAAAACAGGAATTCAGTGTTGTGCCTAGTATATTCTTCCATGTTATTTAAGATGTATTACCATGTTGTTAAACCACGTGGCTCAAAAATGTCAATAAACTGTGACTACTAGACATATAAATTATTCTCAGTATCTTCAGAATTCAAATGTTGTTACCTGGAAATATTTTTAGTATAGGGAAAGTCTGTGAACTTGTGATAGACATTCCATTATCTTTTCCCTCAACCAGCAGTAATAAATTAACTTAGTTTTGTTTATTTTCACAACATACACTTGGAATGTTATTCATACAAACTGGTATATTATTCGACCAAAGAAATTGATCATTATTCTGTATCTCAGGTTATTGCTAGCTTATTGTTATATCTGGTCATAATGAAAAGCAGGAGACGTTGTTTGCCAAATATATAATTGAACCACATTTAACAATATTAAATAAAATTAAAGAGTTTATGATAACCTTTTCTTAGAATTAACCCTGGTTTATAGCATTTAGTTTGAATATTAAATTCTAACCGAAGTCATATGCCAAGATACATTTTAGGTGTATCTTTCTAAAATATGCATTGTTTATGATTGATGTGTAACTCTTTTCCTTCTCCCTGCTAGGTTGTTTATAAGAATAATGATATTCGTCTGGAGTTATCTCGTTTGGCAAGGATTGGTGACACAAAAATGAAAATCTACGGGGAGGTGAAATTTACATGTGAGAATGTAGCCACATTGGATCCAATCAATTTTGAAAATCCCGAGGCCTACATTAGCCTGCCTAAGTGGAACACCAAGCGAATGGGGTCTATCTCTTTTGACTTCCGCACTACAGAGCCCAATGGCCTTATTCTTTTCACTCATGGTAAACCCCAGGAGAGGAAGGATTCCAGAAGCCAGAAGAATACCAAAGTGGATTTCTTTGCAGTAGAACTCCTGGATGGAAATCTCTACCTTCTTCTTGATATGGGCTCTGGAACTGTTAAAGTAAAGGCAACTCAGAGGAAAGCTAACGATGGAGAATGGTATCATGTTGATATACAGAGAGATGGTAGATCAGGTATGCACCAAATCCTTGAGGTGTAAATATATCTGTTTCTCTAATACAGGAATGTCAAATTCGTGGCCTAGGGGCCAGATGCGTCACATGCTGCCCCTGTCCAGTTTAGCGAAGGGGAAAAAAGTCCTGATACTCGTTACGCCACCGTGACTCTGCAAGTTTGACATCCCTGCTCTAATAGAAATTATTTTAAACTATGAAACAATAAAATCAGATGAATTGCTTGACAATGGCGATTGTCTGTGATTGTATATTGCAGGTTTAGCAAAGTTGATGGTTTTGAGCTGGAATACTGTAAAACCATCCCAAATGTTACAAATGAAAGTAAAGGTGTCCAGAGTAGAATTCAACTTGTGTTCTTAAACACTTTCCTTCACACAGTATTTGCGTAATTCTTGTCTTGTCTTTGTATCCATATGATTCCACACTGTGGTCTTTGTTCACTTTATTTGTGGCTAAGCTGTGGTTCAACAATCACTCTGAAGCTGATTTACAGCAGCAGGAACTAGCGTTTTCAGGAGCTCAGAGCTGGACCTTTTTCTTATTGCAAAGGAAGCTCTCCTCACTTGATCTTTCCTCTTTCCACTACTGATAGACAGAAGAAAGTAAAAATGGATGGATGGAGGGAGGAAGGGAGGGAGGAAGGGAGGGAGGGGGAGAGACAGTGAGTGAGAGAATGAGAGAGAATGAGAGAGAATGCTTCACAGGGTGCTGATGTAGTAAGCAGAGGTGGAGCACTAACTGACATAAAATCAGTTATATTCAGAGCCGTGGTGGTGCAGTGGTTAGAGTGCAGTACTGCAGGCTACTTCTGCTGGCTGCCTGCAATTTGGCAGATTAAATCTAATTAGGCTTAAGGTTTTTTCAGCCTTCCATCTTTCCAAGGTTGGTAAAATGAGGAGCCAGATTGTTAAGAGCAATATACTGTCTCTGTAAACCACTTAGAGAGGGCTGTAAAAGCACTGTGAAGCAGTATATAAGTCTAAGTGCTATTGTTATTGCTATATTATCCATACTTTTTAGAAGTCCAGTAGAGACTTTCTGCAACAAAAGCATGTGTTCTGCCCGTAAGCTGAAACCCATACCTTTCAGTATTTTATTTTAAAGAATTTGCCGGATGCACTTTAATCATTACATAGACATATTTCAATGGCTTAAATTTGTGGACCAAATGTTATTGCTACTCTGAAATTCAGTTAAATTGGTGGAACCTACCCGAAAGATGATGCAATAACAATGTACTGTTAGGCATACAGTAAAATTGGCTTGTCTTATGCTTCCATATTCTTCACCAATAATTCTGCATCAAACTGCCAGATTATTGCAGTACAGATATTCCTTGTTTAGTGATCACAATTGGGTCTGGCAACTTGGCTGCTAAGTAAAGTGGTTACTAAGTGAAACAGGGCCAGTTCATATGATCTTACTCCAGCTTTCCTTTGCTCTACAGACCTGCCAGGGTCACAAGTGTGAGAACTGATCATAAAGTTACTTTTTCATCACCATTGCCTACCTGCAATAGCTTTCAAAACCATGCATAAAAATAACCTTTGGAACTACTGATATCATCACAAGGCAATAGATGTGTTATACTGTATAGATTTTCTAGTTTTTCAAGACAGTGAAAATACAGTCTTGTCAGTTCTGCTAGGAGGCAGTAACATGTTTCAGGACAAATGTTCTCTGTCCTCTATTTAAAGAGGAGTCCTTGACCGTCTACACTAAATGTTTCACCCTTCATCAGAATTCAAGCTACACAGGAAAGTGATTTGTTTTATCTCTTGGACTCTTGCTTGACCTTCCTTTCTTCTTTCTTTCCTTCCAGGTACCATTTCAGTGAACAGCAGACGGACACCTTTCACTGCAAGTGGAGAGAGTGAGATCTTGGATCTGGAAGGAGACATGTACTTGGGAGGACTGCCTGAAAATCGGGCTGGCCTTGTCCTTCCTACTGAGCTGTGGACAGCTATGTTGAACTATGGTTATGTGGGCTGTATCCGAGACCTCTTCATTGATGGGCGGAGCAAGAACATCCGGCAGCTGGCAGAGCAGCAGAATGCAGCTGGTGTCAAATCTTCCTGCATTAGGGTCAACACCAAACAATGTGATAGTTATCCCTGTAAGAACAATGCTGTCTGCAAGGATGGCTGGAATCGCTTCATTTGCGACTGCACAGGCACTGGCTACTGGGGAAGAACATGTGAACGGGGTAAGTTCAGAATTCAGAAAAAGATTTTAGCCAGAGTTGAATGTTGTTTGGGTGGCATTTTAATTTCTTGATACTTTATGTTAGACCTGTGCGTTTTACAGCCTCTGGGTCACATCTGGCCTTTGGCTGTCCCTGTCCTTACTCTCTGATCACTGGGTCATCAGGGAAAGAGTTTTTAATCAAAAGGCTTCTTCTCTGAATCTAGCCATTTTGGGCATTCAATATCTTGAGGATTTCAGCCTTGGTTAATTCCAGTGAATTGACCTAAGCTGCAACTTGTGAATTAAAGAGCAGATTGAAATGCCATTACACTCCAACATTTTTTTCAGCACAATTCTTACATTAAAGTAAAAGCAATACATTAAATAACAATACAATAAAACAAAAACAAATGCACAAATGTATTTTGAGATCTAAACCTAAATTATGAATAGCAAAGATTCCATTCACTGTATCATCAAAATATGAAATAATGTCTGTTTTTTTATGTCTATGCAAATCTTTTAAAATGGGAGCTTTGCAATAAATGGGGGTATAACTAAGGCATCTCCTTTTGAAACAGGAAAGCTACAATTTCTTTTTCCAGGCCTGTTGCTTTGTAGTACCTCTCAGTTGCCTCTTTAACTGTATAATATGCAGAGCCATTTTCTTTGCTGAATGTATGGAGTTAGTTGATGTAACATCTACATCTGTTTTCCTTGAAATGGTCATGTTAATATAACCAGCATTATAGGTTATCTGCCAAATACTCAAAATGGACCATAGCCAATCCTGCTGATTTGGTGAAATTGAAATTACTAACAACTAAATTATTCTATTTGTGATACTGTTGCAATTTCTATTGCCACTGCTGTTTCAAACCAGCCCAACTCATTTTCCAGTTAGGTAATAGTGTTTCTAGGTAACAGTCAAGTTAATACCAGGTTCCTTTGAATCCAACACTGTATCACATTGCCCGATATGCAATGCTCACAATATGTGAATTAAGTGATCCACAATAAAATGGCAACCAACTGGCACAGAGTGAAGCTTATTGTTGAGTTGGCTCAACTTTTGTTCAATTCAGTGCTACATGAAGGATGAGGATATGATTCACCAATAACTACAGGTCATAATGGCAGCCTAGGAGAGTACTCATGTCTGAGTGGTAAGGGGAAGTACTCAAATTCTGATCTAACGTGGGATCATTAGCAATATCATGCTAAAGGCCTACTAAAGTCTTCCATCAGCCTGTATCCATTGAGAAAAAAGCATCACCGAAGGAGGTCTAATGAAAAAGCAAAATGATATTTTAGCATGGAAAATTGTGTCTGGAAGATGAAAAGGATGACATTCAATATAGAATAATGAGTGTGTTAGGTTTCCAAGTGATGAAATCCATTTAAAAAGAAAAGAGTAAAGTCCATTTTCCAAAACAATTTCTTTTATTTAGGAAAGCATCAAATTGGCAAAGTCTGTGGTAATTCTGGATCTGACACAACTTGGAATTACCCCATAATATCAGAAGTTAGAAACAACCCCCAAAAGTCATATTCTCCAATAGAAGTAATTCAATGTTGCTTGATGTCATAAATCTCCACCTCAAGGGGCCTGAACACGGTCAGCTCATTTTCCCACGGGAAGAAGAATCACCTAACCTAAGCAACTCTCCCTATCTCTACTCCTCCACCCTTAGTAATGTGGTAAGCCCGAAACCCTTCCCCCATGACCGCCAAAGAGAAAGTAAGAAAAAGAATATATATTAAGCTTAACTAAAATGGCTACACATATGTGTCAGCTTTGAAATTCAGCTGCCACATATATTTTTTTTAGAGAGTTAGAGGAGTTGAAAAGTTCAAGGTTATTCTGTGTGTCATATTAAGAATTTGCAGTTGCAGTTAATTGGTTCTCATGATTTATGAAGTGTAGAAGTGGGAGGAGAGAAGGGAGGAGAGAAGGTGGATTCTGTGTAACAAGCGAAAAAGCTTTCACTTGGGAAATTGCTTTTGAACATGTCAGATCTGTTCCTAATAAATCAATTGGAGAGATAACGTCTCTGGAGTGATTGATATCATGGATACTGTCTGGATGCTTGACATTAGGTCAATTTTCGGGCTTGATAGAGTGAATGAAAGGAGTTTGAATAAAGAGAGAAGGGATGAAAAAGGCATTAAAACTTGTTCATAGTTTGGTGAAGTTATTTGCATATTACATTTTTGGGGGGTTCTCATTTTAAAGATTCTGTTAATGTAGCTTGACGATAAAGTCGAACTAGCTCATCTGGCTGTGTTTACTGTCTGGTTTACCTTGCAACACTGACATCAATCTTGCAAGTCTGAAAGTACTTTTCTCTCTCTGTCCTCTTTATAGCACACAAAATTAGGAAGGTGGCTTCTGAGATATTTGCCCTGCCCATATTCTTACTGTGGGCTTAGCTGCTTTTTATCTGTTCCCTTGGCTGCATCTTTTTGCCTTTTCTCTCAAGGTCATTCCCACATACTATTTTAGCACCCATGTCCTGGATTATCCAAATTTATGAGTGGAGTAGAGAGTCAAATTATTTCCAGACCAACTCCTCTTAGGCAGAATTTAACTTCAGTCTGCTTCATTACATTCAGGTTTGTGAGAGGAACATTGCAGGACAAAGAAAATGACAGTTCTCTCTTCTCGGAGAGGCAGGTATAGGCAGGTATATATAGAACTATAATAAATGGATAAATTGTACATTTGTAAATAAAGTTGAATTAGTGGGTATCCCAGAGCAATCTAAAATTATTAAGTAGAAAGAAGAATAAACCGTAGGAACAAGACAAACAAACTAAAACTTTTTGCATTATAAATAAATATTTATTTTGAAGCCTATTTTATAATAAATATTTTTGAAGGGCATTGTTCAATCTCTTGTTTAATTCTAACTCTGACTCCTCCCCCCCAAACCCCCCCCCCCCCCAACATACCGCTACATCTAAGTCTCTAAAGATTTGGCCCCTTATATCCCAGTCGACGTCATCCTGGTTAAGGTTTTCCACAGCAGCTCTTGGCTGGCCTGGCCTGACTAAAGGATCACCTTCAGGTAACTCTTAAAAAGCAGGGGTAAGAGTAGTGGTCCCCAACCTTTTTTGTACCAGGGACCAGTTTCAAGCAGAAACACTTTTTCAAGGACCGGGGGTGGGGGAGTCCGAGTTTGGTGGTTTGCTTGCAGACGTTTCATTACCTGACTAGGTAACATCTGATGTTGTTACCTAGTCGGGTAATAAAACGTCTGCCAGCAAACCACCAAGTTCAGGGAGCGCCAATGCCTCCTCATTGCAACCCTGAGCAACAGATATTCTCTTCTATTGGGACATTTAAAACGGAGGGTTTCAGCTGCAGATTCAGGAACTGCGCCGGGCTGAGGAGCGCCTTCAAAACTGAGCACTGGGCGGTGGCGGCCCATGGCTCTCGGCCCTGCCTTCCTCAGCCCCATCCCTCAGGTGTCTCCCTCCCTCCCTCAGGTGTCTGCCTCGTTCCTCTCTCAGTCGCTCTCTCGCTCCTCCACCAGCCCAGGAAGAAACTGCTTCAAAGAAGCCGGCAGCGTGGCTTTTCCTGTCGCCGCAGCTCCTCCAAAGCACCCGTTCACCCCCACCCCGCCGCCCGTGCGCAGTTCAATCCAGTGCTCCGTTCTGCCTGCCTGCCTGCCTTCGTTTCTGGTTGTTTCGGAGAAGCTTCGACTGATAAAAAGAGGCGAATAGTTATTATTCTCAGCCGAAGCTGCTCCCAAACAACCAGAAATGAAGGCAGGCAGGCAGGCAGAACGGAGCACTGGATTGAACCACGGGCGGCTGGGTGGGGGTGAATGGGCGCTTCGGAGGAGCTGCGCCGACAGGAAAAGCCACCCTGCCGGCTTCTTTGAAGCAGTTTCTTCCTGGGCTGGTGGAGGAGCGAGAGAGCGACTGAGAGAGGAACGAGGCGGGAGGAAACCGAAGCCACTGAGCCAGAGAGCAGGACAGGCTTTGGTTGCTTCCTCCCTCCCCTTCTTTCATTTGTGTCCTTGATCCCTGATCCCAGCAGCATTCACCGAAGGCGAAGAAAGCCGCCATTTTTTAATTTTTATTTTTCTTTGCGGCCCGGTACAAAGTGATCCACGGACCGGTACCGGTCCGCGGCCCGGTGGTTGGGGACCCCTGGGTAAGAGGACATCACTCTATGGCATCTCATGTTTACCAGACTGGCTTCTCTCCGGTGGTGATATGCTACCGATTCGGCCCGGTTTACCTGAACCGGTAGCAAAAATAGCTTCTGATGATCAGCTGAGAGGAGAAAGAAGAGAAAAGTGCAGGGTTGGCCTTCCCATCTGCCCCTGCATTTTTCTCTTGTTTATCCCCTCAGCTGATTGGTGCTGCAGGCGTCACCTGGTTTGTGGAAAGCTGTGTGCGCATGTTAGTTGCGTGTGCGCACGCGATCACCAAACCGATAGTGAAACAGGTAGGATCCCACTCCTGCTTGTCTCTTTCTGGTGCTGGTGCTGTCTGGTTAAGAAGACCAGAACAGAACCCCCTTTCCTTGCCTGTCATCCAAATGATACTGCCAAAGAATAGGCTCAAAGATGAGTTCATACCCTGGTTTGGTTTAATTCACTTTTGATCTTCCTCCAACAGACATTAAAACATCTTTTCTGATAATTTACCTTCCAGAGCTCTTTTTGGTTTGGCTGACAAAAGCTGATCAGGGACAATCTCATCCTGCCCTCTGGTCATCTTCCAGCTCTAACTCTCAAAAGTGGAGTTAGATAGAACTGCCAGTGAGGTTACTGGGAAAATTCCCAATTGTCCTTTAGAATTCATTACAGTTCCACTACTGAACATATTTTGTGTTGAAATAATTCCAAACCTCATTGACACCACTGTGGTACTTTTTTCTCCTTTCTGAGGAGGAATTGGAACCATGCAGGCAAACAAGTAGGACAGCACTTTCAGCCAAAATAGCATGTGCAAAATAATTTCTTTTAAAGCCTCTAGTTATGGCGTGACCTAAACATTTCC